ATCTTAGATATTATAATCTTACTATTGTTTTCTACTCTGTTTTGTTCTGTATGTATTGTAATAAAGAAAAATTTTAAAAATTAAATTGGATCATACCAATTTTTTTAGGTTACGCTTTTAAGATATGTTTCTATGAATAAAAATTAAAGATATATTCAAAAAAATTTTTTTATAATTAAAGCTTTTGGATCAGCTTAAATTTAATAATTTTTAATAATAGTATTGAATATTTTTAACTGAAATTTTTTAGAATGCAATAACTTTGGATTATTATGAAATTCATTAAACTGAATATATTATGAATTTGTATTCAATTAAAATATAAATGTTGAAATTAAATTCTGATTATAAACAAATCAAGATAAAGTAGCAGACCAACTTTATTTATCAATTGCTCTTATTTCCATTACATAGTTTAGATAATGATGATAAAGACGATATAATTATGGTTATCGTTAAACATAAATATGGTTTAGATTTTAATTTTAGTTATCATCTTAAATTATAATTTATTTATTACAGGTCATTATTATATATTATTGTTAGTATTCTTTTTAAAATTAATTTTTATTAAAATTTTTATTTTTTAGGTTCAAACTGATTTTCAGCAAGTTGGTGAGAATCAGTTTCTGATTACTGTACCTGATGCAGACAATATAAATCATATAGTTGTGTTTCTCACTGGCACTATTCCTTTTCCAGATGGCATGGGAGGTGCAGGTAAGATGAAGAACTTTGTGTACAAACTATAAAGATCAAATTTTTTTATCTATTATAATTTATTAAGTTAATAAATGTTATTTATAGTATATTTAGTTGGCCTGATCCAAATGCACCACCTAATTGGCAATTCCTTGGATATATTTCCAATGTTAAGCCATCGGCTATTTTCAAAATATCAAATTTGAAAAAAATCATGAATTTGTAAATAGCAATTTGGGAATTTTTGGAGTTGGCAAGATCTCGCACGTAGCACAGATTGGTGTATCAGTTGAACCATTAGCAGTAATTGAGCAACAAGTAGCTACTGTTACTGCAACTACAACCAATTCTTTTGTAGAATTTGTACAAAAGATGCTGACGAGTTTTGTGAATTATGTGACTAGTTTCACAGTAACACAAGCGCAAATGACACCAAATCCCACTGAGAACTTTGTGCCTCTATCTACATTACAGAGCTGGTATGAAACTTTTGAGAGACGGTTACAACAAAATCCAAACTTCTGGAAATCGTGATCATAATCTTAATCATATATAACATAAAGCTTAGCATCTTATATTAATATAAATTTTACAGTGATATTCAAGTACTGTTATAGCGTTTTGTTATAGTGTAAAATGCTGGATTATTAATATAAAACTATCATTCTTATATTATATAATAAATATATTAATATATTAATAAATAATATTTAGATTTAGACATATAAAGATTTTTCAAAATATGCATTTGAAAAATCAATATATATCAAGCTTCAACATACCTTAAACAACTTTAATAGAGTATCAACAATATTGAATATTGTACTTAGGTCATTATGCTCTTGATATTTCTAATTTTTTTGTTAAATATGACAAGACAGAAACATTTTTAATAAAAATATATCTTACATTATTAATTCATCGTTATATGTTTTTATTGCAATTACATTTTCATATTTGAAATTGAAAAATATAAACAAATGCTATTGAATTTAATATGTTTAAAATTAAAAAATATTTTGGATTTTAAACCGGTATATTTTATATTAATTTTTAGATTTTAGATTACACAAATTACATTATATATTTTTTAAATCCCATATCTATTGGATTAGCTAGATTATTTATTGTATGTAATTTTGTATTGACACATTTTTTAATAAACCTTCTAAGAAAAACATAAGTCAAACATTATGACAAAAAATTAAAATTTCAACGATTGAATTATAAAATAAAAATAAATCTAATAAAAAATATTTGATTAATAATTTAATTTTCGTGTGTAAGAGATCAATGTAAACGGCATTCCATATAAATATCTTTAATCTCTGTAATCGCTTTAGTGTCGGCCCACAATAAGTATTTAATCTTTAAGTCGTAAGAAATTGACCAATCATAGTCGATTATTCTTTTCATATTCGATTATAATTGGTCAATTTCTTACTTCTTAAAGCTTAAATCACCTATTGTGGACCGACACTTATGATACATATTTAAATTTTGTTTAAAGCTTAAATAATATTGATAAAATCGAGCCTTAACTTTTTATTGCAGCTTTCTAGGCACAGTGTTTTACATACTTGAAAATTTTGAGCGTTCCAAAATCTATAAGAAAAAAGTATTGCAAACTTCTTTCTCATGTCATTTTATCCTTGTCTTCCATCGAATGCTAAACAAAGATAAAATGACTATGTGCACTTGGGTGTTATATCAGGAACCCTATTCTTGAAACATATCGCATACGAAAATTCTATAATATATGTCACATAAACTATAGAATTTTCGTATAAATATGTTTCAAAAATAGAGCCCCTAACGCATCCCAGAGGACGCAGCGATTGGATGCTGCAATTCCTTTTGATATGCGATTCGTCGATACATTGCGTCCGCAAATTGCTTTTGCGTTCTACAAGCTATGTAAACAGGATCTTAAACGGCCATCGTTTTAATATAGAAACTATAGCAATTGCTAGTAGTCCATATATATAAGATGTATGATTTTCACATCGATGTATAAGCTCTCTTGGCTTCGAAGATTCATTCGCGGAGGTATCGCTGTTGCTGTGTATTATCACGGTAATTTCGGCCGTGACAAAATTACGTGTCGGTTTTGTAAACGTACGAATTTCGATTTTTAATAACGAGATGACATAAGCAGACCGTGCTACCATGGAACAACCGCCGTAATATGAGCCGATCTTCGCTGTCACCGTTAAGCGCTCCTTGTCATTCAACCTATGCTTGCGTTTATCCGTATTCCTGGCATTTCATCGTTGCAGTAATATAGTGACCAGTGGTGTTTGTGAAAATGATACTCCGCATCGCGAAGCAACGTCATTAGTGCGTGTCGTCTTACAGCGTCTATTTTATAGATTTTAGTGTGAAAGAACAGACTGTGAGGAAGAGAAAAGAGAGGCGAGGGAGTGAGAGGGAGACTGATATTTTGAAGATATAAACCGACGTGCACGTTTATTCTGTATCTAACCATTTAGAAGTAAGTAAGAAGCGAGTCTGTGCCTGTGTTTTTACAATATCGTAAACGGTTATGTGCGCTCTCTCTCTCTCTCTCTCTCAAAGGTAAAAAAAAGAGAGGGCAAATAATTGCACGAATGATTACGCGCCGTATATGATGCGCGTCTCAAGGCTGACACATGTCGTCGATCTAGCCCTCAACCTCAAGAGCGAGAGAAAGGCCAAGCGAGTAGGCGGCGTCGCAAGACGCGGAATGGAACAGTAATTCGCGCAGCTGTCACGCGTGCTCAATGTTGCATTGCGTTTCGTTGCGTCGAGTAAAGTTACATCGACATTTTACAGAATTAGTCCTAGATTTGAGATGGCAAATATAATAATGGATTTTTTCGATTGCACCAAATCGTTTGTGTGTGTGTGTGTGTGTGTGTGTGTGTGTGTGTGTGTGTGTGTGTGTGTGTGTGTGTGTGTGTGTGTGTGTGTGTGTGTGTGTGTGTGTA